TAGGCTTTCAAGATAAAAAGAAATTCTTCACAAATCATTCATTTGAACAGATGCAGGAACGCAAAAAAAAAACTTAGGTCATACCTATATTTTAAGAAAAGCATAAAAGGAAAATATTTATTTTTACATTTGAAAAGCGTATCCAGGCAAACTTTTAACATCAAGTTTTTCGCCTTTTCTGGGCCCCGTGTTCAACAAGAACATGAACTTTGAACAACGCGAAATAGTCAAAATACAGAGACTCTCGGCTCTTTTTAGACTAATAGTTGCAGAGACATCATTTCGGCAGGTCCCATTACATCGGTTGTCTTTTTTGCTAGAGAGTATTGTTAGCGAACGAGCAGGCGTAGTGACTGTAAGGGCATTGCGATTTAAACTTTCGAAGCACTTTCTTGCCTGCACCGCGTTTTACTCATTTACATTCGAGAAAATTTAGTTAAAGGGCCCATTTTCATATTCTATTGAAAACACGAAAATCTTGATTTTGACTGGACACTGACTTTAAGCACGAGATAACATAGTAACACAAGCTCAACGACATGAGAATCAACTCCATTCAACCAAATGTTCTGCGTTCAGTGAACTAGTCGTTGTATAAGTGCACACGAATGCTGAGCGTTTATTCAACTCCTATAAGAAGGTGATTGTGTGCCATAAGATCACGACCTCCCCTACGTACCTCATTTTCTTGCGCTTCCTTCCCAAGACAGCGTGTCTTTTTTTCTAGATAGGGCAACTTAAGATCACGAGTGAAATGCGCGAGAGTTGAAGCCACTACACAACTGCCTTGCAAATATAGCGTTTCATTTGTCCACAGATCTGGGAATCTTAAACAATGGGACTAGGAACATAATCAGATGTCTTAATTTCCATCAAAACATATATAGCAGAAAAAGAGACCAACTTTTGAAGCAGATCCGGCTGAACATGAATCAGTGGTACTGTGGTTTCGTAATGCACTTTTGTAATATCAAGAATTGGATTGGAACAGTATTTGTTAATGACTGACCTTAAACGACATCCATATGTTAAATGAATTGATATTTATTTATAAACAACACATTGCTTTGAATAGAATAGATTCACAGCTGCCTCACATGTAAAAGACACAAATTGCAACATACCTCGTCATCGTCATGAGAATATGCTCGGGCAGCGTGAGGTGTCGTTTTATCTCTAACATGGTTTGCAGTGCTAGGTGTAAAGGAAGAAGTGCTCGAGCTCTCTCCTCCGGTGTTGCATTAACTTTCGGCCTCGAATCCAAATCCGTGTCATCCGTCATGAATCCAGCAGTGATATACGCTTGAACCATATCCCTAAAACAAGATTATGTGAATGAAGAAACAAAACATCGTTCACTTTATGCAAAAGACTACTATAAAATCAAACACAAAACAAAAGCTAATCGAAGCTAATCGAAGGTTTATATAAACATCACGAGTGACTAACAGTGTCACAAAGATAGATACCGATTTTACAGAATCCCGCAGAAAGCAGATCACATAGTGCGTAACAATTGTAGCTGGGGCCAAAATCAGTTTACCTCTCCTCCATTTAAAATAGGTGACAAGCTCACCCCTCCTAGAAGTGACTAAAAAGGTAATGAGAAACTGAGCTTTATACATCAAACTACACTCTTGTAGAAGATTATGCAACAAAAGTTGCTATAGAGGTTGTGACATCGTCCTCTAGGATTTTAAGTTTTCAATCTCATTCATCAGGCTATAAACTTTATCCTTGTTCCCAACAGTCAAGCTTTACATTGAAGAGAGCCTTTCATTTGAATGTCTAGCAAAAGTTTCGATGAGAATATGCTGAAATAAGCCTTGCTTCTGCATGCATGTATATAAAGAGAAAGGAATGAATAAGTTTTATATTTCTGAAAG